TCAGAACATTTATAGATCCGCCCTGCAATCCTAATGAATCGTTGCACAATTGTCTGTTTTGGGTTGGTGATGGGCTTTTACTTGTTGGATTTAATGGGGTTATGTTGGATGCTATAGCGCCTTGTATCTGCAAATACACTCAGTCATATGATTCATACACCATCAGTCTAACATCATTCCATTATCTACACTGTCGCGTTACTATAAAACACTCTACAAAAAAAAAATTCTTAGGCAAGACACAGCGATACTACTTTTCAAATTTTATTTGAAAACTTACTGCACAAGAAATCATTATGCCTAAAACTACAAAAAACTACTCTGTCTATTATAATACACATCTATTTACATGCATAAAATGTAATTGACCACAATCTCCTACACTTTCAAAAGTCTCAGTGCGGTACTTGATCAACAAAGGCTGATTAATTTATTTCTCATATGATTTGAGATAGGCTCTTATTCTAGAGCGGCAGTTATTATAAACTATTTGATTGGTGTTCCCAGGTTGTCATATCAATATACAAGATATATTATTTGTCAATGTGTACAACATGGTTCACTTGAAATTAAGGGCCTTGATGCATAAAATACAGTATATAGAAACATAAAAACAATCAATAATATAAAAAGAAAATGCACATAAATTTAGGTACAAGTGCGATATCAACATACATTAATAGTAAACATAATAAAAGTTATTCAAAAAGTAATTGGTATGTGAATTTTTGTTGAAACAATAAAACTGAATAATAAAATTGAACTGCTATATAGTTAAAAAAGAATATTATTTAGTTTTGAATAAACAAATGGATTTAACTATAATTAACTTATAGTTAACTTACTATAATTTAATCTTTAAATGAACAAATAATCTGAAATATATACAATGTGTGTATCTATACATAACACACATATTATATGCGTCGAAATATTGAATGCCGGCAAGATGGCGTGCATTTCGATACTTGTAGTATGTACTATCTTATCTGATATTAATCAGTGGATCTTCAGATATCTTACTCCTATATATGTTCTGTAAATAACAAACATAATTATTCGTCTGGTCTTGTTAAATGTGACTGAAATGTTCCAACTCCATGGATCAAAATGTACTATTATTCATGGATCTCAATTTAGGAAATATTACAGTTGTAAAACACCCTCTTTCAACACTGCATCTGCCCCCTTACATTTCATCATTGCATCCAACTTGTTATCATTTAATTCACAATTTGATATATTAAAAATTCTTATTTTTGGAAATTTACAACTGATACTTGCAAAAAAGTTTACATCTATGTCGTGAAGATTATTTAAACTAAGATTCAACTCAACAAGGCGGTTATGTTGCTCATTTTGGATGACCATCTCATTCACAATGTTACCTGTTAACTTACACTCCTCCATTTCAAGCCCAAATAGTACAGGACTCATTTTCAGTAATTTATCTAAATTGCAACCTTTAACTTCATGTAAGTCATTTTTGCTGATATTAAAATATATTAAAGACAAGGTCATTTTGCTGTCCCAACACTCTTCAACCATTTCATTGACAATTTTACTACTTAAGTTAATAGATTGGAAGTCAAGATGATCAAGGAAAGGAGCAGCTTTAAACAGAGAACACAATGTTGTCCCTTTTATGTCACTAAAGTCATTATTTATGACAAAAAAAAATCTTAATTTCTCTAAAGAATTACTCACTAATTCTTTAAAAAAAACAGCTGGCACTTTACATCGATCCAGCTTCAACGTATTAAGTGTGCTGGCAAATGTACTTAACCGTTTTGTGTCAATGTTACTGAGGTCATTGATAGAAAGAGTAAGAGATTTTAGGACACAACTGCCATCATCCAGATATCTACTAATCAAATCATCAACAATATTACTTGACAAATTACATCCAATTAGTTCTAGTTCAATTAAATTAGGAGCAATTTTGAATAAAGTGAATAAGGTTTTCCCTGTGATTGATGAAAGGTTAACACTTCTAGCAATAAATGTAGTACATGTCAATGAAATACCCTTCTGTTGAACATTCTTTATGAAATTGCTTAAGTCAAGAACAGTACAGGATTGTGGTAACTCAATTTCTTTTTTCCTCTTTACTACATTTAGAGGTAATAAATTGTTATCAACACTGTACATCTTTTCATCTGTAAGAACAAGAAGTGAAAATTGTAATCAATTTAATTTGCACTGTACAACATTAACATACGAAAGAAAACAACATACAAAAATTGGGGGGGGGAACAATTTTTCCAAATGACATAGACATTGTTTCTTTCTCATCGCTTGGCATAAAATATTCTCAACAATGGCAAAATGGAACTTAAACCATGCTCCACCTCCCATGTCAAATTTTTCTCTCTTTAATTTAAAGGGAAGCATCTTCACTACACAACTACAGCTCCACTCCACCCTTTATAAAGTATTACCATTTAACCAAGTAATCCATAGGCAATTAAATAAATTATACACAAACACAAACTATTTACAAACATTCTCAGCAATAATAATTTGCCTAGAAAACAACAAAAAATAATGTACCTTGGTCGAATGGCCTGCCTACATTTGGTATTTTTGCAGCTGGTCCATCTTCTTTATCTAATAAACAAATTAATATTTTAGTTGATGTGTTGCATTATAATAAACATAAAAAATAGGATATTTTATTAAAATATAAACTATGTTTTGTAAATTATATAAAATACCATTTATTTTATATAATTTCTTAATAATTTTTTAATAACTTCTACATGTGACATTCTTTCCTTCTCATCTCGCTAATAAAATTAATATTTTACTATTTTACATTTTAATACACATAGAAAATAGTATTATTTTATAAATATCCACACCAGAGGAACACAATAACTAAAACCACTAAAGGCGAAAAATTTTAAAGTGTAGAAGCTTTTAAAACTGTTTATTTTATTCAGAAACCATTACGTATGAATCTTCATAATTATATCTCTGTTCTATTTATAATTAGTCAGCTTCTTTTAAAAGAGAAAAATCAGATAACATAGATAAGAAAGGTATACCTTTACTCTCCATGTTCTGAAGAGCCTCAGTGTATTTTGTTTTGTCAATGTACAGTGACCACATCTGTGAAAGATCTCCTTGATAATTGTCTATTGATAAGATTTTTCGCAGGTCTTCCATCAATCTACCATTCTGATACTCGCTCCAAAGCTTGGTCAACACTTTAGGATCATTTGTGAGGAGACAGAGGGATGAAGGCTCAGATGTGACACCATCAACTCTTGAAATGCCGAGATGTCTAAAATGTTCCAAAACTTTATTCGATTTGAAAGGAATATCAATAGGCTGATTTTGAACTTTTTCCTTTGGTTCATTACTTGAGCTCATGGGATCATCTGGTCTGAGGCTGTGTCCAGCTTCCATTGACTCATTACACCTAAGCACAACTTTAATCTCTGTTAAAAATAAATACAAACTGTCGTCATAAAAATTACTATTTTAATGCAAGTTTACTAAACCAACAATTCAAGGTTGAAGGGGTATAGAAATGGGTAAGCAGCATGTACAGTATTTATGACCAAAATTTCAAATTTCCATTCTAAAACAGATTTCAAAAATGTGACTTCATCCTTCATGACCTCTGTATTTCAAAATTCTTCTTAATCCAGCTATGACATGCATTACATGTTATATAAATTTCAATTTTAAATTGCTTACTGCAATGAAAAGATATATGCTGTAGCAAATCAGTTTCTGACTATATTTAACCAACATATTTAAGTCCTACTCTTGCTGCTATACTATTTTACCTACAGTAGGTCTCAGTTTCTAAGTTAAGGAGAAATCATAATTTTTGCCAATAACAAAATCAAAGTAGTGCTTATACCGTACCTTGTTCAGTTAATGCATTCAACAGCCTGTCATAAAAATCTTCTTCCCAACCATTGGCTACTGTTATTGTTTCCAGATAGACTGGTATCATGGCATCTTCTGTTATCCTCACTGGAATAAGTTTTCCCTGATCCAGAGAATTGTCATCCAACATCTGTTGAACAGCAGTTACAGCAACAAACTCCAGATTGCCAGCTGCCATTCCTGATGTGAACCCCACTACAACCCGCTTGCATCTTTTAACTGGACTCACCAAATTGTCAATTTTAAACTTTCCATATTTCCAGTCCTTTCTACTCAGACATTTTACTCCAGGCATCTTCTTTTGGAGTTCGTACAACATTCTTTTTTCCCATTCCATGTCTTCACTTATGATGTAGAAATCATACTCTGAAAGAAAAACAAAGGGTATTTGGCAATTCAAAAGTTATAGTAAAGTAATATTAACTTTAATGAGGAATAAGGCAAAGCAAATCATTTCAGCTAAAATAAGAATTAATATTATGAACATTTGTACAATTCATTGAATTGATATTAGTAATACACAAGAACTTAGCTTACTGTATTGCACAAACTAGTCTCTTTACTACAATGTCACAAAATGGGTCAAAGAAAAAACAGAAACAATAATCCTAAAGATTACATTGAAACACAAGAAAGACTATAGTGCAGAAGAACAAATATCATTTCTGCCATTTGAGGATCCATGATAACCTCAGTAGTTGGACCAAGATTCTTACAATGTTTCTCTAAGATTGTAATTTTAAATATTGGCATAATAGATAAACTAGACAGTGATTGCTAGCAGGATAATTAGGATAATGAAGAGGGTCCCTAAAAAATATTTTCCTGTACTAGAAGCCCAAAATGTACTTTCCTACAGTGTACAGTATTATTCATTTTGAATGTATCCTGTATTTCTGTATTTATATTTTGAATAATTTTCAATGCATATTGATACAGTTGTAATAACCAATTTATTCGCTGTAATAAAGAAAATATTTGAATCATTTCATGTGAATTTGTACTACCTTTGCCAAAAAATATATTTTCCATTAGGTAAATAATCTTAAATCATAGTAAAGTAGTCATTGTTCTGAAAAAAAGATCTATGTATCAAGCAAATGCTGTACTTAACTCAAATATTATATTAACATTGTTTTTTATATATAATATTTTACACCAAATTTTTGTATTAATTTAAAGACTGGATATGTAGTTATTTGTCATTTCTTCTCCAATTGTTCATTCCAGAAATGTGAAAATTTTAAAATATTTCATACCTTCTGTGGGTGCCTGATCTTTTCTTTTTCGTTTATTTTTTGGAGGTGCATTTCCATATTCTAAACAAACAAATGAATGATATGAACAAAGTTGGATTATTATCATTTTAATATATTTGGATATGCACAGCAACAATACAGCCAAAAACATTGACTACATGACAGAGGACAAGATGATATGAAAAAAGCCCAGCGTTCACCCAAGGACACGTGAGCTTGTACATAAACATTTTTATGTAATGAATTATCATAACAAAATGTAATAATAAATATAGAATGATAATCATTAAGATAATTAATTCCGTGCTTTATTTTTCTACATTAAAACTATGCTGTGTCGCCTTTGTAAAATTATCAGTAATTTTTAAATGTTGTTTGAATAAAATCTTTCTAAATTTACCATGTGTTGAATATGAATTCTTTCATAAATATCTTATCAATGTACTGTATTATTGATCAAATTTTCATATCAAATACACATATCAGCATTGAGCAAATGCTATATTTATCTAAACAAATTATATTAACATTATTTCATAATATTTCACAATCAATTGTTTCAATAGGAATGACATGCATTGATAGAAACATTACAATGTATGTATTTTGTTTGTATTTCAATTGTATTTCAAAAACTCCAATTGTCCATTCCAGAAGTAACTGAATAAACCATGTAAAAAAAACCACATACCTGTACATTCTTTGGGTGCTTGATCTTCTTGGGGCGCATTTCCAATATCTGAACAAAAATATCAACAATAATGAACAAAGGTAAGTTATGTATTTGTATACAGCAACACTTCATGCCAAACATGGTAGACGCCTCTGTGAGGAAGAGTGATGAACCCCTAAGCGTACCACTGGCCCTTTAAGAAAACAGGGCGTCAAAAAACCTACCAAGATAATCCAAACCAACAGGTGGGCAAACAGAAAAACATTCATCCATTTAAGTTTTAAAGTTGGTGGTCAGGTTAGGAAAAAATTCAGAGGTATTTAGGTCTAAGCAGAAATTACAGTACTTTGTTCATTCTATGCCCATCAATTTTTATTGCATTTGTTTGTATGTTTTTTTATTTGAATGTTTTGTGAGAGACATAAATAAAATAAAATAAAAATAGAACCTAAAAGGAGTAAAATTAATTAAATAATTTAAAACCTTTCATTATATACAAACCTTCACGTAGAGCAGCGACTGCTTGATGGAAATTATTTTTCTCTAACTTTTTGATGAAATTTTTCATATTTTTTTCACAAATTATCATCCTGTGTTCCAGATCATTTATCAGACTCCAGCTATCTGCATAAGCCTTTACTGGATTATTATAAAGTGCACTGATTTTTCCTACGTCAGTTTGGACTAGTCTAAATCCAAGCTTCATCAGCTTTTGTCGGTAAGGTGTAAATTTTGAAATTACAACTTCTCTGATGTTTGGACATGATGGTATCAGGGCTTTTATTTCTTGTATCAAACCATATTTTTGAGTTGCCTTGATGCTTTCATACAGGAGAGTCAGATCAGTTGGACACAGATCACCAGAATCATAAAGCAAATGCAGCAATGTCATCGTCTGAGAAGCATTTTGTAACTGAGAGACCTCAGTCACATGGTCCCTGTACAACACTTTCAGCATGTTGATGTACCCACGAGCATCATACCATTCAGACACTTTCACCAACAATTGCCTGAAGTCTTCGTCAGATATTCCTAAGAAAAACAATGTTAATGGAAAAGTCTCTAGTACAGTATTTAAAAACAAAATAATCGAAACAAGTACTATTTCCCAGTTATTCATTAGGTGTCGTAACTGATACACAACTAAAGAAGGCAGAAATAAGATTAAGAATAATAAATAATGCAAAGGCAAGTCAGAGAGCTGATCATTTATTTAAGTTTGCTTTCAATAAAATACATTGAATATAGCAGTAATGCACTGTCACTATCATACCAAAATATCTAGTGGCCATGTTGTTAGTTCAGTTCTATTTGTCCTTATTTTCTTTTTTCTTCATCTAATCCTGTATGAACAAAGATAACACACAATCAAATCATTGAAGATATTACTATGTCAAATAATTGATCAGAAGATGCATTAAGTCCCTCCTCAAAAAATATATTATGTCTTGACCAATGGGAGGTAAAGGTTGATGTCCTCAATGGCCAGAGGCCACCCAAAACCACTTGGAGGGAGTCCAGGGGCAAAGCCCTTGGAAGTTCCAACAATTTAGGGATTTTATGTTTTGAGTCCCATAATCTGTAAAAAATACATATTCATTTATTTTTCTCCCTGACAAATTGTCATTGAGAAACTGAAATACACAACTGAGTTGATGAAATGTTAGGCACTCAGCAGCTAAAATGTTGGGCACCATGGTGAACAAACTGATTATCCACACAGTGGGATTGCTGAAGGAAATATTTTTCAACCAAAAATTTATCTGTGAAATACATAAAATATAAAAGATCAAGTTTATAGTCATTGTGCACTTAACTCATTTCACATGAAATTCGAGTTCCAATGCTTTCATTAAAAAAAATACAAAACAAATAGATTACACCAGATCTAAAATCAGTAAATATTATGCACCAATTTTAAAAATTAAAAAAAATATATTGGTGGTGTTAAGGTTAAAACTATGTAAAAAATAATGAATTCATATTTGTTATTAATTATACAAAAATGAATAGCTAAACTGTTGGCGGCACAATACCCTGGTAGGCAATGTAGGCCTAGGCACAACTTTCTTTGAGTACAGTATATCGAAATGCATTGAAAATTAGTATACTAGTTATATTTATTTTTGGTGTGCCAAAAATATGAAAGCTGCTGAATGAAATTCACATATGGCATAGTAATAGGTCCATGGTTATATGTATTAGGAATCGACAAAAAAAATATATATAAGAAATTCCTCTTTTTTCTATTTTTATTCAATGTTTTAAATCATTTTTGTCATATTTCTTCGGATGGTGGTCTATTCCTAGAGATACTTTTTTAATAATACTTTATAAAAATAATAAAAATAATAAAAATCAGAAATATATTTTAAAAGAAATTCTAAGATCAAATTTTATTTAGTAATACGTACTGTGCTATGCCTAGGCACCCAGACATAATCTAGAGGGTGTAGCCTAGGCCTTACACAGGGGCTTCTATTCCTTCTAGTCCTAGACTATGCCTGGCCTAGCCTGGGCTAGCCCTAGGCTAATCCGACCTACCTGGCCTAAACTAAAACTGCACACTACGTAAAAGCTACACAAATACTTTATAAATCTGATATTAATTTAGATCTATAACCAAACCCACTTTGGCCTTCAACACTCTCTCTGCTCAATTTGATATTAATTTAGATCTATTTTTCAAACCCACTTTAGCCTTCAAAACACTCCCTCTGCTCTAATAATGGTAATGGCTGGTATGGGGATTCCCCTTTCTTTGTTTATAAGGTTGCCAGATAGTCGACATGCTTCACGGCCAAACACACGCCATCTCACGGCCAAATTCGGCCAAACTTTTTTCATATCGGCCAAAATTCGACTAGATTTTACTTATCTGATTAGAAAATAATAGTGGATATATAATATTCATTTAAAATACAAAAATTACACGAAAATTTGCGGTCATTTTATTTGAAATTGAAGAAATTAAATGGTATACACAGAAGAATGTTAATCATTTACTGTTTTTGTTCTTATAATTAATTTTATAGCAATAATTTTAAGGGTCTCCTGTTATCGAATTTGTATGTGGCAAATCCGTGGCTCGCTTTAATTACAATAAAAGTTACATTAGTTAGGTATAACACAAACCGGTGTGTATACAAACTTATGAAAACCTTTTTTTCTTTTTATCTAAACTTTCTAAATTCGCCTTTGAGCGTTATTGTTGCAGTACTTAAAACAATACCGGTAGCTCAGTGTTGCTCTCAGAATCATCTTCTTCATGATTCTCATAATTATACAACTTCAGAGACGTAAACAATTGTGTAACACAAACTGCTTGAAATATGAGGTGCCATCAGACCCGAATGAACACATCGAGCATTTATATGGCGCTGTACATAAAGAACACGCTGCAGCGTCTATCGATTGACTCGGCCCTTATTCAACTTGGCCCACACACCAACTCGGTCCTTGTCAACTCGGCCCTTCACCAATTCGGCCCATAAACCGAGTCACTTTTGTAAACCCTTTTAATGTTATGAATTAAATCTTAATAATTATATTAATTTGTCGTCACATATTATGCATTTCTTAATGTTTTATGTTATTATCCAAAGAAATAGGGCCTAAGGAGATACCGTAGGCTACACGAACATTCAGAGTACCGGGTACCGTAACGTAGGCATGTCTTTGTTAATTACTTTGTTTTAATTTTAATGTAATGTAGCCTTTTGACGTATTTTAAAGTTATTTCTTAATCTTGTCATTTGTCCGCAGGTGTGTTGGTGGTGGAATTAGCGTTAACCAGACCCGCGACGAGGACGCTTCTACCATGTACGGTATTAATTATTGGCATTCTTATTGTAAATTGTATGGTAATATTTAATAATAATGTTTTAGTGGTTCACGTATTTATACAACTGTTGGTCCAACGCTGAATGGAAACATAAGAATTAAATAGAACTAAATATATAAAATATTAAACCCACATGCCGTCTTTGAGATTGTCAAAGATGATCCGATCTTTCGAATCAAATACATATGTGTTATTGATTTTTGGACCTTTCAAAGGCTTTGGTTTTAGAATGCTGACCTTCTCTAATGTTTGGTTTCCCCGTTTTTTCAAACATCTATGTAATCATTTAATCTATGTCATCATCATTGGAGTGGAGTTGAATAGCTCAGTGGTTAAGGTGCTTGCCTTCTGATCCTAAGGTCCTGGGTTCAATTCCTGTCACAACAGGACTTTTTCTCACGCCAAAAACAATTATCCCTATTAAAGGGATAATTAACGGGACAATTTCACATTTTCAGCCAGTGTCTCTTGAAGAGTGGTACAAGGGTACCCCTATTCAGGGGAAACCCCTATTAAATGGACACTTATTTTGGGTCCCGAGGATGTCCCTTAATAGGGGTTCTACTGTATATCGGTTTGGTTTTCTCATGTACTGTGTCAGCTAATAACCATGTTTTATAAATAATAAAGGCTGCTACTGTGCATAAATGGTTTTTAATTTGGTTATGCTCATTGTAATTTAAAACTCCCAGTATTATTGTACTTAAATTGCCTTGAATACTTAGGTCTAAATGATATTTAGCCAACATTGTAGTTTTTATGTGCGACTATACTCCAACGACGACGTTGTGCACAGTAAAGGAAGATGATGATGATGTATGTGATATGATCCTGTCTGTAGACTACTCATTGATCTACTAACAATATTGCATGGTATATCCTACTGCCGATTCTTCAATATTTGCACATATCATATCAAATCGATCCAGTTTTAATTAACGAAAATTGTAATTCCTTTGAAAGGAATCAGAAAAGCATTTTGAATTAAAGGTGGCGGTCATGGTTTTCAAAATTTTTCGAGAGAACCCCTGGACACCAAAACTTCCAGTCAGATTTAAAAAATATCCTCTCCATTACGAAAGCTGGTTACGGGCCTGCTGTTTGTTTTGATATGCATAAAAAACGAATTATAATATATGCGTTGCTTGACACTTTGTACTTTATTTATACTCAGGTTGTTATCAGACTACTTAAAAGATAACAGAATAAGGTAGGAGCCTATAAACACAAAATGCAGAAAAGAAAGATTAGGACTATATTTAATAATGCTAATCGGGTAATAAATAGTCAGTATTATTTTAACTTTAGAAACACTAAATACTATTCAAACGATATATTATATATATATATAAACGATATATATATACTGTATATAATATATATATATATATATATGTATATATATATAGGCCTATACATAACATACTTTTTCCCGATTTATAGTTTATTCCCTTACATGTTACATGAAGTTTAAAAAGATCTCAGATATGCCTTGTCGTTTAAAATGCTGAAGAAAATGTTCCTTACATCTGTTATTCGTTGTGCGTTAATTAATAAAAAAAATTGCGCATATATAAATGAAAGTAGTTTCTTACAACTGCATTTGAATTCCCAACGAAGCCACAGTGGCCAGTTAGTTAATAAAAACCATAACCTTTGGGAAAGCAGTGTCTTGCATTCGACACCACGTTGCTGCTGAAATATACATAATTCAAATGTAAACACCGACAACAATCTAAAAATTCTATAAATATCATCAGGGTGTCAGACGAAACTTTTGTTTTAGTATCTCAAAATGTTTGTCTATCAATATTAATCTCGGTCAGTCTATATGCATCCTGGTCCTCGGTTTTGGTTTTCTTCCTCAAACATCGACACGCTACTAAGTTCATTATTCTGTTATTGGTAACTACACAATGCTAAAAAAATAAAGATAATAATGCCGTTTGTTAGTCAATGATATTGTTAATTATACAAGGTCAAAATCATTTTGGGACTTGAATAATTAAAATATGGTGGATGAAGTTGTAAATGACTGTTTACCAATATAATGTGGGGTGTAGCCTACTTACTTCAATGAAGGCAGATACTAATATGTTGGTTAGGAGCAACGCTACCAACTCCATCTGAAATACTTTTTTTGGACTCGGCAACTCAACAAACTAAAAACGAAAAGAAAATAATTACTTTCTCATGATTGCAGTGACGTCATATTCACACACGACGTCCAGGCTATGTGGCTACAAGTTCAACCACTGTACAACCACATTGCTGGATATGTTTTCCTTTAAAGATCTACATGTGTTTTGTCATAAAAGTCGGAGAATACTCATACGTCCGAAAATATGCCGTTCATCGTGGAGAGTACCAAAACACATTGTTAGGCACATCATGCTTTTAGCAAACGCTTACAGTACTATGTTTACGTAAAATAATGACTCTTGGCATACCTCAAAGAACTTATTGATAGGCTCTGGTGGTACAAATAACAACATCAAAGTAAATAACGTCAGTACGATGAAAGATATAGTGTAGGGTTCTAAAACAATAATGAAACAAATGAGTTTGTTATACTTTACACGTTTCCAATATACGAAGATAATCATAGCTTTTCAATAATGTATTATTACTTAATGACATATGTCGTGTACACAATCGTAATTGTTAAGGTTATGTAAAGTGGTAGGTTGTGTAAGTGGTGCATTTTGTTTTGCTGCTCATATAATGTTAACTAATATGCTAATATCAAGCTATGTAGGTCTAATTACTATAATAACAACTATGTTATATAAAACTTCCTATTATCTGTATTTTTCCAGTTTTGTTATCTTTATCGTCAGCATTATTACCACCATCACCGTAATCATTAAGGCCTATGCGATTCTTTCAAATTACAGTATTATTTTCATGAACATTGAAACGGCACAGTGATTGTTAAGCACATTTGGGCATACATCAAACGACAAAATACTATAACTATCAACAGTGGAATTGTTACTTTTTAAACATACATTATAACTACCACATTATAAAAACGTTGTATTATCTGTAATGTACAAGTTTTATTAATTCTATCATCAACACAACCATCACCTTAATTATTAAGGCCTATGCAGTTCTTTCAAATTATAGTATTATTTTTCATGAAGATTAAAATGACACAGTTATTGTTGAGCATCTCTGTCATCAGACGACAAAATACTAATGTATAAATACTATCAGTGAAATTACTTTTTAAGCAGAAAACATTATTGGAAAGAGTGAATGTAAGAATGTATAGCATCATAGTTGTCTCTTGCAACATTAACAGAAACACCAACGTGTACTTACTATTCTTATACATGGGTGTACGGAATGGCTTTCCAGGGGTAAATAGGAACGCCATTATAATATATTGGAAGAAGGAATAAATCACGAGTGTTGTCGTTTCAAAACACAGAATATTCTTTGAAGATGTATCTGGTTCAAGAGGCACAAACCTTCAACAACAAAAATATAGAAGAGTTTCTATTTGAAATAATTATTGATAAAATCTATGATGCAATAAAATATATTTTAAATTAATTTATTTCATACTTCATATTGAATAGTGCACGGCGCCATAAAAGCTGATTGGTTCTATGGTTGGGTATACGGATATTAGCGCAGTTACGTGTGCTGTAATTGTGAAAGGAATAATTGGATTTAAAAGTGTTACAGAAGTGACAAGGTAAGAGACCATGGTAGGAGGAGTACATAAAAAGACCTTGCTGAAGGGAATTAATGTCAGCGAGTTTAAGAAAATTGAGATTAGAAAATAAAGAAGAGGAATGAGACCATGGTGGAACGCCAGATATAATCCTGATAGCCTTCTTTTGAATGATTTGAAGTTTGCTTAAGTTGGATGCTGTCTCTTATACACATCTAGATGTGTATAAGAGACAGGTGCGCAACATGTCCCCACTTTTTAAGTATGTCAGTGTTGCTTAACTTATGAGTGTCTAGTTTTTGTGTTATTCTAGCTTTGTATTTTTCCTGGTTAGTAGTATCGGTAAGTTTCATTACATCTAATACTCGGCTCGCCTTTTTGGGTTTCATCTTAACATATTGCAGCCTAAACTGTGTTTTTACTAATCTGTGGTCGGTTTCAACGTTAATACCACTATAGGATCTAGAATTTGTGATAACAATTTACATTCTTTTTCCTAACCATTATGTAGTCCACTTGATTTCTATAAGGGTTTCTACGTGGCGTACCATTCCTATCATTGTGCGGTTTGATTCTGGCAGGCTGAGCTCGCCTTTACCATATTTACCTATACAAAGCGAAAAACCATTATGGTACCCCGACCCGGTCTTGGCGTTCATATCCCCCGCAATGATTAATAAGCTTCTACTACTAACACTATTTATTATGCTTTCGAGCTCGTCATAGTATTGTTCCCTTAGTACCGGCTGATTTTCGCTCACCTTAAGTGTGTGTGCATAAGTTGAGATAAAAGGAACATACCTTGGCTTGTTTGCTTTCTCATCAATCCTAAAAGTAGCCATACACGTTCTATCAGAAAAACCTTTAAATTTAGCACACAAACCCTTCTCTATAGCAATACCGACTCCATGGTGTGAGTTGTTGTCCGATCCCGTGTAGAAAAGTTCGTATTTGAGATTCCCACTACAAGGCAAGTCGATGACACCTGTGCCTTGCAGGTGTGTTTCCTGTACGCCGAGTATCTGCACATTGTATCGCTCTAGATCCAGGGCTAGGTCTTTCTGCTTTAAATGCGATCTAATTCCTCTAACATTCAATGTTGCAAACCGCTAATTTTTCACATTTACGGGGTCTAATACACATATTCTTGCTTTTCACCGCAGCCAAAAGGCGGGATTTCGTGAGACTTTGACGTATTTGATGTTAGAATTCTGAGGCTTGATAGCGCTAGTGTGGCGTCACCCAACACTTCCGGAGAAAATTATAAAACTTTAAATATAAACTAAAACTTGAATTTAAAATTCGTAATGAGGATGGAAAAATTGTTAAATTTTACCTTATGAATTTTAACAAACTAACTCACTTTGGATATCATCTATAATAAACCTATATAAATGGGTTATTCATTTTACAAAACAAAAAAAACAACAAAAAAAACAACAAAAAAATTTAAAAACGCAGATGAATAAAGGGAAGCACCAATTGAATCTTACTTTAAAAAAAAAGTAGGGGTCAATAAAAAAAATGTTAGTGTTACTTACCAAGGTTGTAAAATGAGGATGAAGTAACAACTAGTTTGGAATATTGCTTGTACAACCGTTTGACTAGTGAAACTAAAGACAATAGGAACCGACATCAGATGTGTAATAGGCTTGCGCATTGAAATGCGGTTAAACGGTTTGTTCCGACCCACTATGTAACAAGACAAGAAGACAGAACATTTTAGCATAATTTACTTTGGTTTTGTAAACAATTTTATGGTAACAATTATTCTGCAATTTTTTTTACCTCAAATCTGATTTGAATTTCCAACGAATGACAGTGGCCCAGTTGTTCGAATCCCGGTTGCGGAAATCGACTCCTTTTCCTTACTCTTGATTTATACATACATACATACACATGCATCTTCTTGATCTGGCGTACTAGGCCTCCTTTAGACCTTAAGGAAACAAAATTAACATGAACGACTTTAACCTTTGTATCTCTTGTGGATTTTAAGACGATACGTTCCTTGACTTTTGCACAGCAATTTGTTTATAAATAGGCCTATATCTGTCTCTTATACACATCTAGATGTGTATAAGAGACAGGAGTAAGGACTAGTGTTGTCCGAAAGCTCTGGTTCTATTTCTGGCTGTTTACTTACGTTTACTTTTTAGCTGTTGCTTATCATTTTTGTATCTCTACTGAGATCCAGCCATTGTTTCCCACAGCATTGTTGTTTTTCAGTATTTTGCCTTTTAATCTATATATACATATATATATACATATATATATATCATATAACTAAATGACTTACTGAAAACGACAACACATATATATATATACATATATATACATATACATATATACATATATATATATATATATATATATATCATATAACTAAATGACTTACTGAAAACGACAACAGACGTGCAGAGAACAATGTCAATGTATAAAAAATGAATATCACCTAAGTAAGACCCAAACTGCAAGAAGAAAAAAAGGTAGAAAAATACTGATGATGATAATAAGAAGAATAATACAACACATTACACGTCCATACTAATGTAATTTTTCTCTGTGAAATAAGAAATCGACAATCGTACTTGCTTGTGTTCTTAGCTAATTAGGAATATATCGTATGTTGTTTTCATCACATTTTTATTGATTTTGCATTTTGTATAAATGTACTTTATTTCAATTGAAAAAATAGCTTATTTATATACAGTACTTAACTCATTTCAGTTAAACTGAAAATATAAATCATCACGTTTTAGTTATTTATTTTATTTTATTAATTTAGTTATGCGCATACACCGAACTTAATCACTATCCTGTTCATGGTGGCATTCTCTTTCAGAAGACACACGTACATAATATGGCTAGCGTACCAAAACCCATCTTTAGTTCACGTTTCGATTTATTGTCCCCTAAATATGGGTAACTCGGGTAATGGAAACCACTTTTTTGATCCCGATGGTGTACTCTTGATAGGGGTATTTGTTGTATTTATATCAAGCGATTGGATTGGATTTATTCGGTGTAAGCACCATGGATAACCCACGAAAGTCTAGAAGAAGACTTATTTCCAGTGGGGTCCTTCTGGTGGCGATTTGGCAGTACACCGGGAGACAATCACCTACTCTTTTCAGAACAGTGTACTGCGTTCTTTAACGTGCACATGAGCCATATATGCACACGGGACCAACGGCTTAAACTTCTCATCTGAAAGACAATGCGCTATTTCAGCCCTCCAGCTGAAACACAAGGAGAGGCGGCGATGGGAATTGAACCGGGGACTTAGAGATCTCCACTGTTCAGCGCACACACAGTGGCTACCACCAGATTAGCTGACATTGAGTTAAGCTGCTTGCCTTGCTTTTTAAATACTATGAAATACTTACAGTGTTCAGCATCATAGCAGTAACAAATTGAATCATACTATACAACGCCATGTATTTGAACATTCCGAACGAGGTAGTTAGGGCAGCCCTTCCTTCTCTGTTGACAAAACAAAAAAAACACTTAACTTATCTTCGAGCAGTTTTAGAAAGTGCTAATGATTTTTTACGATCAACTTTTGACTACCAATCATACATTTTTGAAAATTAAAAAATGGGATGGGTGGAGGCAGG